AATAAGGTTGGCTAGGGGCTTATCAATTTTATTTATTCTTTAAAAGAATCAACTCTTTCATTCATTGATTCTTTGAATTGTTTCCTTAGTCTCTATTGCATTGATTTTTGCTCTGATTTTTATAATTTCGCCTCTTCTTTTGGCTTTGGGTTTGACTTGCTCTTCTTCTAGATGTTTTATGTGTCACATCAGGTTATTTACTTGTATTCATACTGTTTTCCTGATGTGGGAACTCAGTGCCATAAATTTTCCTCTGAGGATGGCTTTCATTGCGTCCCACAGATACCGGTAAGTTGTATTTGTATTTTCATCTTCTTGTAGGTATTGTTTGATTTCTTCTTTAATTTCTCCTGTGACCCACTGATTACTCAAGAGTGTATTACTCAGTTTCCATGTGTTTGTGGGAATTTTGCAGTATCTTTTATCATTAATTTCTAATTTCAAAGCACTAGTATCTGATAACATGCAAGGAATAATTTCAACTCTTTTGCATTTATTTAAATATATCCTGTGAGCTAATATATGGTCTATTTTAGAGAATGGCCCATGTACTGCTGAGAAGAACGTGTATTCTGATGTTGTTGGATGGAACACTCTGTATATGTCTATCAAGTCCATTTTTTCACAGGTGTGATTTAGTTCTTTCTTTGCTGATTTTCTGTCTAGTTGATTTGTCCCTCTGGTGTCAATGGTGTGTTAAGGTCCCTTGTTACAATTATGTTACTGATAATTTGATTTTTCATTTCTGTTAATTCTTGTTTTATATAACTGGGTGCTCTGGAATTTGGTGCATATATATTTAAGATAGTTATCTCTTCATCTTGCAGTTTTCTCCTAACAAGTATGTAGTGACCTTTTTTATCTCTTCTGATCATTATTGGTTTAAAGTTCACGTTGTCTGCAAACAGAATGGCTACTCCTGTTTGTTTGTTTGTTTGTTTGTTTGTTTGTTTGTTTTTTGGTTCCTGTTGCATGAAGTATTGTTTTCCATCCTTAGGCTTTCAGTCTTTGAGTATCCCTTTGGGTTAGATGAGTTTCTTGTAGACAGTATATGGTTGGATTCTGTTTCTTGATCCATTCTGCCAGTCTGTTTCTTTTAATTGGCACATTGACAACATTTACATTAATGGTTATAACTGTTATATGTTGGTTTATTGTTGACATGTTATTTTTCTGCTGTTGCATCTTTATCTTTCTGTTCTGTTTAACTGTCTGCTTTGCCTAGTGGTCTTTTCCTAAGTGTAAACTGTCTTTCCATATTTTTTGCAGGGTCAACTTGGTGATCATGAAATTCTTCAGCTGTTCTTTGTCATGGAGGTATCTTATTTCATCATCGATTTTGAAGAACAGTTTTTCAGGCTACATCAGTCTAGGTTGGAAATCATTTTCCTTTAGGATCTGGAGTACTTTACTCCATGCTCTTCTTGACTTTATTGTTTGTGCTGAAAAGTCTGCTGTGATTCTGATAGGTTTTCCTTTATAAGTGATGTATCTTTTCTCTCTGACAGCTTTTAATATTCTATTCTTATGTTGGATTTCTGGTATGATGATTATTATATGTCTGGGTGTAGTTTTATTTTGGTTATGACTATTTGGAGTTCTATATGCTTCACTGATCCTGAGGTCGGTTTTCAATCTCATGTTTGGGAATTTTCAGCTATTACTTCTCTAAATATCCTGACATCCTTTATGTTGTCCCCTTCTTTTTCATTAATCCTTATCAATCTTATGTTGTTTTTCTTTGTGTCATCTTGCAGTTGTTGAATTGTTATTTCCTGATTCCTTGTTATTTTTAAAAGATCTTACCTTTCCTGTTCACTAGCTGCAATCCTGTCTTCAAGGTCTGAAATTCTATTTTCACTTTCATTGAGGCGGTTTTTACAGCTTTCAGTGGAATTTTTGCTTTCCTGTATATCTCTGTACATCTGCTTTATGTATTGTGTTTGTTTCTTATATTGCTCATCTAGGGATTCTATCTTTTTGTTTAGTTCCTCCAATTTTTTAACTGTTTCTTCTTTAGATATATTCAGCATCTCTTTCATTTCTTTTTATCATGTCTTCTTTTACCTGGGAGATTATTTCTAGTTTGAATTCCTTTAAAGCTTCCCGGAGTTGCTTCTTTATTTCAGTTGCTATTATGTCCGATATTTCAGGTGTAAGACATATATTTTCTTCTATGTGCATTGCTCCTAAGGTTTCTTTTGATGGACTGGGGGTTTGAGATTGTAATTTGGTCTTTTGTTTTGTCATTTTCCTATATTTCTATGTCTCATGTGTTTTGGGTGTTATTCTAAGGCTTCCCAAGGGTCTGTTGGAAATGCTCTTCTATTCCCTCACCTCCTGGGACTCTGGCACCCAGTTCACTGGATTGATAGAGGGTCACTGGGGGTGGAGCAGGCTGGCTCAGGCCCAACCTCTGGAACCAATGGTGCCACCTGCTTGCTTAGCACTACAAAGTCTGCCAAGTACAGCGGGGAGCGGGGAGGTCCTGGACCCACCACACTGCTCCAGTGCACCCCAAAGCTGTGAGGTTTTCTGGCAGGACCAAGTGAGGGTCCCAAAGTAGATGGACTTGGGGGAAAGTGCATGGGGCACTTACGCCAGGCCACCAGGCCTCTGGAACTGATAGTGCCTGCCTGCTTGCTTAGATCTCCACTGGACTGTGAATTCTTAAAGGCGCAAGAATGTTATTTATCTTTTTACTGGAAGGCAGAGCAGAACTGAAGTGACTTAACACTAGGATACTTAGTTGAGTCACCTTTGTGGAAGTCTTGATCCATGCAGGAAACCCTACCCAAAAATACAGTGCCTTGGCATATTGAGTTTTTCAAATTGAAGGAAATAGAAAACTATAGAAACACAAAGATTTCTCTGAAGTTCTCCTGTCCCCTCCCTTCTAAAGACAGTGACAGATGTCCTGTTGTGTAACTGGAGGGAAGGAATATTGCACAAAAAGGTCACAAAGAATGTCAACTTGCTAAGTTCTGCCCAGCCTGGGCACCATTTAGGTCATGCAGCCTTCTTGTCCAGTCATGTTTCTATTCAACTGTCTATTCTTTATTAAGATTCTAGGCATAAAAATACTATTCCCCAAACATCCGGTTCTTTATTAAACTTCTGACTAAATAAGTTGTGATGTTTTTTCTCTAGTGAAGCTGCCTCATTTTAAAGGAGTCTCAACCATGAACCTTGCAATAAACAAGGAACGCAATATTTTCCTTTCCAGCTTCCTATCACTCATACTTATTATCCATAAGAAATTTTAATTCTCTCTTGATGGTTTTTGTATTATTGCTTGCATGATTATTGAACTCTGGTAGTCTTACTGCCTTATACCTTATGTCCCACTCTGATTTTCAGTTTCTTGGGCCACATTACATCCCCATATTACCTGTGATATGAATCTTTAGGAGCTGAAAGTGAATTACTACTTGGATAAAGAACTCTGTGAACTGAAAATAAGGTCTCCTTGGTAAAAAGGATGAATTAACAGTAGAAGAAAGAAATATAAATCATCAACAAGTTTATTGCCATGAAATAAGCATTTGTGTCAACATAGATAACTGTTCCAATTGCTAGTGACACTTATTTCATAGGTTGGTTAATTATGTTTTTATATAATTCACTTAATAATCCTAGCTAGAGATGCAGCTCAGTGGTAAAGTTGCTTGTTTAATATGCACAAGGCCCTGAGTTTGATCCCCAGCACTCCCACACATACACACAATTTTCAACATGCAAACTTTGGAAAAACATGCAGTGTCCCATTCTAGTAGCTAATATGTTGAGAATAAACAAGCAAAAGCATTCAGATTCTTAGAGGTTATAGTATGGTTTAAATTAAGTTTATACCTAACTATTAACAATTGTAATTTATACTTTATTTGATAAATATTTATTGAATTTGCTAATTAAGCGCAGTTGTAGGTCCAGAAGTGGAAAGAGGGACCAAATTATTTTATAAAGGACTACACAAGCTAAGTAACTCTGATATATGCTTTTTACTGACAATTCTTAGATTAGAAATGGTGGGGAATAAGAGCATGAAACATAGCTGCACACAGACAAGTACTGGTCACTTGTGATGGGTTTCTTTCATGGAAGGAAAGACTTTCCCGTCACATTTAATCACTACTTAGTAATTTGAACACTCTAAAACATTCCGATCTGCATAACACCATAGAGATTTGTGTTGGTATTGCCATAGAGATACAATGACAGAGCAGAGCACATATTTGAGGGAAATGCATCAGCAAACATACAGATAAGAAAGCTGAAAGTTGGATAGTGAAGACTAATTTATTTTCTCCAGAGTAGAGCACTGTTAGGTGAAAAGGGCAGAGGCTGCAGTGGAAAATTTCGAGTGAGGTGATATTAGAGGAGAGCATATTTTCTTGAAATGTCACTCAGAGATTAAACTTCATTCTTTTGGGAATTGAGAGCTATCAACATACTTAAATGGGAAATGATACAATCGGAGCTTTCTCTGAAAACAGTTAAGGTTCATAGGTTAGCAAACAGACGTGCCATGAAGAATGGAGAACAGAGATAGGAATCTCACCTGGAAGGAGAATGTGGGTTCTTACATTAGAGCGTTCAAAATGGAAGAGAAGCGATAGCACTGAATGAGGACTTACTGGAAACATTCCTTCTGGGAGTAACATGATAGGAAAAGACATTAGATTTTGACACAGGAAGAATGAGTTGTGAGGACACAGGTTTCTGACACTGGTCAAAAGATTAGTGATAATGTTGTTTAGGACAAGAACAACTGAATTAAGCTTGTTTTTGAGCAATGTGATTAAGAAGGGGAGGAGGAAAACATTATTTTATTGTCTAAACATCGATGAATGTGCGTTATTTCTCCAGCTTCTTTACATTATCCAGGTAGACTGTATCATGCTATAAGAAAAATGTCATTTGTTAAAATGCAGCATTTAGTATGCAATATTCACATGTAACTGACTTAGAGACCTCTATTCTAGATAAACTCTACTTACCTAATTTCCTTCATATGCTTCAGTAAAACCGTTTTATATTTCTCTGCTTGAAGTCTTTCCTGAACAGCCAATTTTTTCTTTCTTAGGACTGCTTCATTCTTGTTCAATCTGTCGATTTTAAGCATTCCTTTGAGCAAAAGGGTGCGCTCATTACTTAAGGTTTGAATTAATAGATGCTCTGTGGCCTTTTGCTTCTTTTGTTCTAGGAAGAGAGTTCTCCTCTCTTTAACTCTTGCAAGGTAGTTTAATCTTTCCTGTAAAAGTTGCTGTAAACTTTTCTGAATGGTCTCCTTCTGTCTTTCAAATAGCTTCTTTTCCATATATTTTTTCTCATTTAAATTTTTATCAGCAGCTAGAATAATTTTTCTTCTGCCATCTTTCGCCGTGCCTACAGCTGCTAACTTTTCCATATGGAATTCCTGCTTCTTTTGTTCTGTGTAATACTTGTCAATATCATTAAGCATTTGAAGTTTCATACCAGGTCCCTGTGTAGGAAGTATCTTTCTTGTCTTGTTCTCTGATACAGCATCCTTTTTGATTAGTGGGCTTGGATGAGGGACATAAAAACGTTGTGTGAGGGCAGGCAAATGACCTTCTTGCTTCTCTTTCAATGCTTCAGCATACGTCAGTGGGTCCGAAGCAGATATGGGTGGTTTGAAAGATGATATACTAAGACTGCTACGCAATTCTTCATCCTCAGTTTCATCTGTAGATTCGTGACCTACACATGACAGCAGATACACATGAAATACGAGCTTAGTTTATTTTCTGCGCAAATTGTTTTGAAAGCTATATTAATAAAACCGACAAGAACCTGTTACTTACTTTACTCAACACCATTTTCCCCACGTTCTTTTGCAACTTGAGATTTTGCAGAGGAAAATGAGTATTAGAATTGTTTATGCACAAACAATATGCACATAAACACATAAATGCATTAAAATGCATTTCTACATTTCCTGAACTCTCTCTGATAATTATTTAACTTGCACTGATTCAATGATAGTGTCTTCTCTTATACATAGTACTTATCAATATTTTTCATATAATTTGCTAAAATAAAATCCTTAGACAAATTCAACTGGGCAGCATTTAAGTCAGCAAAAAACAACTCATGAATGAGCAGCATCTGCAACCAGTAAAAGTTCAAGAATTCTGCTGCAAAACTCTGGTAATAAATATTTATACACAGAAAGCAGAAGTGATGCTTAAGCTTGATTCAATTTTTGCCTTACTTGGACATAGTCTGATCCAACTGACTGCCAGGGATTGAGTGAAACCCAATTGCTCTGATTAGAAATGTGGTTTAGCCACATGTTACAAAAACACTCTCCTCAAATTAGTCATTAAGTTTATTTCTGTAGAAGTCAGGTTTACTTGTTATGTAAGGGGTCAAGACATGATGGCAGCTTCAGGTTACATTTGATTCAACAGTCTAGTAACACCAAGGACATTATATTTATAATCAATTTACATTATTTTTCTTAACTTTGGGGAAAAAATGGTATGTGCCATCACAATGTTTTATTCTGGATAGGTGAAGAAACTAAGGAGGGGGGAGAGAGAGACTGAGAGAGAAAGAGAGAGAGAGGGAGAGAGAGAGAGAGAGAGAGAGAGAGAGAGAGAGAGAGAGAAAGAGAGAATTGAAGGAAAATAGGAAATAGAGCTTTTGCAAATAGAGATAGGAATAAGAGTTGGAGGAAGAAAGGAAAGATGGGAGTGGTAGAGGACAAAAATGAGTTAAAATGTGCTATGTCTATGTATAAATGCCCCACAATGAATGCAGTCATTATGCACTGCGAACATGTACTAATAAAAAGAAGATAAATAAAAGAAGCAACCAAAAAATAAGAAGAAAAAAAACTAAATCTCTCACCCTCCTCTGTGATTTTGTGTGCCCATTTCCCAGTAAAATAGGAACAGAATCACAGTGTATAATTTTTTGTGTGTGCTCAATTTTGTTTGAGACCAGGAATATTTTGGGTTCCTTTTCTTACCATAGCCACCATTACTTATACAATAACTTAAATAATATTGTTATTTATATATTTATTTTGACAAATCTACTTATAAAATCAGGATTTGTAAGCAAAAACAGATATAAAAGATACACTCATTAATTGTAGGAAAAATATTTCCCTTTTTTACCTAGCAAAATTACCTCCCTGCCAACTCTAGTCTGTAATTATTTTATCTTTTCTTACAGAAAATTCACATATTGTCTTTATGTGTCCAAACACCAAAGCATATGTTTGTGGTTCATGGAATCGTGGTGTAAACCAGCACTAGAAAGGAAATAGACAAGAATTTACTAAAGGCCAAAGTAGTATGCATGTTAGAAAAGTAAGTAAAGCCTGCCACAAAACAGGAAAGGAAGTTTAGAGGAAAAATCCAATCCATTTGGTTACAAAGACAAACTGTCAGAAATAAGCATCAAACATTTAGATCCAAAGTAAGACACTGGAAACCTTTATGCCAACTGACAACCATCTCACTAGGACTTTCAAAAGTCTTATAATTTCCTTCTTGACTTCTAGAACCTTTGCCTGAAGAAATTAGTAAGTGCTGTACCATTCATCTTATTAAAATATAGTTCTAATTGTATTGTACCTTATACTCAAACAAAACTTTCATGGTTCATTATTCAAAAGATGGCTGACACTTTCTACTTTTAAGGTAATGTATTATTAGAAAAGAATTTCATTTTTCTCCTTATACATCCACCATATCATCCCATCACTGGGCCTTTGCACAGCTTGTTTAATGTTTTGTTCAGCATGTTTCCTTATCTGTTTAAATTCTATCAATTCTGAAAATCTTTTCCAATGTCATTTTTTTATTAAACAGGAACTGATTTTAGGAGTTACACTAGTTACTTCTCTACCAAATTCTCTATATACTTCACATTCCGCTTATAATCTATGCCACAGTTCTTAGCTATACTACTAAGTAGGTACTAAGTTCCGTTACACTTAGAACCTGGTTGATCCTACCTTGCTGGTCTCAGCCTGGTACTTCACACAGAATATTCTCTGTGGGGCAATGCAGCTGAAAAAAGAATGCATGCTTAATGCGTATATTTGTTCGACAGATGAGTAGACAAATGGACAAATAAATCTGTTAGCTATGAGCCATATTACTTGAAATAGGTAAAAGCCATGAATTTGGAGTCCACTTGATTGGGTTTAAAGCCTAATTGTAGCACTATGTGGTATAAGGAAGTAAGATAATTCTCTGGGCTTCAGTTTCCAATAACATATAGAATAATATCTAATTTACAAAGTTCTTACAGCTTTAAATGAGTTAATAAAATATAAAATGCCAGTAAAGTGTACTCTATGAGTATGAAAACAGGATCTGATGAAGAGTAAGATACATGTTAGTTATTTTCTCTTTATATTTGGTATGCAAAACAAGACATTTATCTCTTTAATTCCATCAGCAGAATAGTGTTCAAAGAGCCACATGATTTAGTAATGAGGAAAATACAGTACTCTGTAACCTTCAATGCTCCTTGGAAATTAAAAAGCAGAACACAGAAGAACATTCTCCATATGCATATTTTGTTTGGAGATGGTATTTCTCCCTTTTTGTTGAAAGAGGAACCAACGTTGGAAACGCTCTCTTCTTTCTATGACCAAATTTACAAAGTTGTCTGTCTGTTCATGAGTTCTCTTTTTAACCTGATGAATAAAGGGAACAGCCTTTCTTTCAACAGAGATTAAGTTGTTATTGCATGTTTGTCCTATCACCCTTTACCTTCATGACTGTAACTATCATGACTTTCTGATTTATTACTATTTCTGTACTGGACTCTTGGCATCAGTACCTTAACCTCGATATCCACCAATGCTACCGTCACAGTCACAACCACACTCCTTCAGCTCACTGCCCAAACACCATTTCATGATTTTGTTCAATTTTAGAGTATAAAATATTGAGGGTATTAGTTCTCTGTATGACCATAGTCCTTTTCTTTGACTTCTTTGAATTTTTCAAATCAAAAATATATGATACCTCTATTCTTCCTGCTAAACTATTTACATTGCTCCCATTAAAGAATTTTCCCTTAGCCATTTTCTTATTAGTGAAAAAATACTAACACTTGCAGTTACAAAGAGGGGAGATTTATTTTGGCTCACAGATTCAGAAGTTTCAGTCCATGGTCGGCAGGCTTAAACACAGCAGGGCACGGTGGAAGGGTCTGGATGAAGGAAATCTGCTCATGTCATGGTTATTAATGCATGTTTTACTTTTATTCATAGGAAGTTTGTATGTAACAAAGAGGCTCAAAAGTCCCACTACAAGATTGAGGCAGAGAAGAGGCATTCATTTGTAAAATAATACACAAGGAACATACCTATGAATAAACTGGCTTGATGAGATAAAAGATCTGCAAAGAAAACTGAAAGCATTAATGAAAGTCATTGATATATTTGACATGCATCTTTTTAAAATCTAATTTATTTGTTCTTCTATTTTACTCCTTCGTCTGAAGAATCTTCCTGTTTGTTTTTCTTATGGCCTTTTACATTGCCTTTCCTATATCTTAATCCTGTCAATAGCACCAACAGTCTTTATTAGATCCTGCTGAGAAAATTATTGGCTAAAGCAGTGACTATGTTAGACTAGGAGACTGCAAAGCAAACTTTCAGGGCCATTACAAAGTCTGTGTGGATAACACCTTTGTATTGATGATAATTTCTACGATACTTCTACATTAGAAACAAGACAAGAATAACAGCCACAAACTCCATGCATACACAAGCTCAAATTTGCAAAGTACACTGGTGATTTTCTATTTGTTAGAAACATAATATATAGAGAAACTATAAAACTATATATATATATATAAACTATATATACATAAACTATATATATAAATTATATATATAAACTATATATATATATATATAGTTTTTCTGTGATTTTGTGTGACCAATGATCAGCAAAAATTGTTCAGTAACAAAGGTCCCCAATGGTATTTATATACCTGAATGAGGGAACTGACAATAAATATAGTTTCAGTGAAACAGGGTAAAGGTCACCTGTCCATATATACCAGGCAAGAAATATTATCAATGGTATCACCTTAAGATATGAAGGGCACTGACATAAAATAATGCAAACTGTCATGTCATGGTGCAAATAGAAAGCAAAAAAGTGACAAGGGCTCACTTGGTATTGCATCGCTGACCCAAACTTCTGGGGGAACTGTCTAGAAATACAGGGATGCATATTTCCTAAACACTGGTTGACACCACTGTGGAAACAAACTTGCTGAGTTGTATGAGAAAATAACATACACAACCCTTTTAAACACTCTATAGTATCTTTTTAGTTTTTACAACAATTAGCTATTTAAATTGTCACCTTAGAAATAACAATTACTTGGCCATTTATTGAAGCACTAGTCCTAACACTGTAAAAATAAGATATTAAAGTGGATTCTAACTACATATCTAGGGTGAAAGAAGAGAGGAGAATGGGAAATCAGGTGCCTGTATGCATACTCAAAAATCCTTGATTAAATCCTTTATTGATTGGGGACCCTCAAACACTGACCACAAAATTACCAATTCTTCTTGTTTCTTACCTTCAAAAATTAATAAATTATAACTAGTAAGCAAAATATATAAACACAAATATAAACTCCCCATATAAAAATGTTGCTAGCTTATTTTTAATGTTTCTAACAAAAAGAAAAAAGAAAAAAACAAC